AAGCTATTCTTGCCATGCACTATGTAGAGGAAATAGAGGCCAGCACAAGGCCCACTTGGCTCTCCATAAGTACTCCAATCCATAAACAAAGGGGTTCTTCTTCCCTACTGTTTCTTTACTAGTTGTTGACTGTGGTCCTCCCGATGACCTACCCAATGGCCACATGGAATACATCACAGGCCCTGAAGTGACCACCTACAAGGCTGTCATCCAGTACAGCTGTGAAAAGACTTTCTACACAATGAGCAGTGATGGTAAGTACTTTCTTCAAGGAGGGGCGGGTGGTATTTGGAACTTGAGTCCTTAAGGTTGAATATAAACTTGAAGCAGACTTTTTGGCTAAGGGAGACAAAGGATTAAAAGGCCTTTCTCCCTCGTGCTAAGTGAAATACTACAGTTGAAGTGACTTTAATGTCAATTTGCAAGAATCTGAAAACAGATCTTATCTAGTAAATGACTACCACAAACACACAATATATTCCAAATGGTTTAATTTAACAAGTCAAAAACCTTATCATTAAGCACTTGAGATCTTGATACATATTCAAGTTACACATCTAAAAGGTTTCCACTTTGCAAGCAAACATGGTAATGCAGACAGCTATTTATGAAATCATGTAAAATGGTTATTCACACACCTCTCCCCACCATGGATGCTTAAGAATCAACATTTTTCAAGGGGTTATGACAACCACAGTTAAACATTTTTGCTTTTCCAACGATTTGCAGGTAAATATGTGTGTGAAGCTGATGGATTCTGGACGAGCTCCAAAGGAGAAAAATTCCTCCCAGTTTGCAAGCCTGGTAATGGACGCATTTATAAAAGAGAATCACAGCTGACACAGAGTCGATGGAGGATAACAGGCAGACAGGGGGCTCCGAGGCTGGCTGAGGACAACATAACTCCCAAGCGTGTTCTCATTACCCCTCTGCACACAGAGGCTGCTAGCTCCACCACTCATTTGACTATTTTTGACCTTATGATTAGGCAAGCGTAAAATATTAAATGATTTTTTAAATTATCTAAAACGATTTATACACTTATAAACACGAATTCTTGCTGAGTTACTTTTCTTCTTTGTAAAAGTGCTATTAAAACCCAAAGCTAATAACTTCATTATTTCCCTAAGCAATTGTTTTCAACATCTACGTTTTTCAACATTAATGCAATTTGCCTTTTAATAGTATTTAATTTTTTTAAAACCAGAATTGGCTCCAATAATAATAGTTGAGAATGCTTTTAAAAAAATTTAAAGGTAATAATACACTCATTACCCCCATGTTAGCTGGTTTAAATTAGTTTTCTAACCCTGTATTTGGTTTTACATGCTGCTTCTAAGTTTTAATCAAAGTACAAGACCAAAATAAGAAACATGTGCTGCATTCCTGAGTAATTAGCTTGCAACAGAGACACTGCAAACTTAATGTTTGGATGATGATTCAACCAGACCAGAAACACAAATTTTAGAACCAGAAGCATCTTGGCCATTGCTGCTACATTATGATTTACTAGATTTTTACATTCAAAGGCAACAGTCATTTTGCAAACCATAACCTTAATTCCTGACTTCCCAGAGTTCCTAATGAATTCAGAGGTAAAGCAAGCAATGCAGAGTCCTGTCCATATTGTCTACAGCGTCCCTCATCTATTTTCATAAAGCAAAACATAAGAATCTGTGAAATCTTACTGATCTTGAGGAGCTAAGCAACCAGATAAGGACTACCAAGTAAAACTAGAACAGCCTCACTTGCCTAACAGAGAGGGGATGCCTACCTATCCACCAATCCATGGGACGGAACTGCTGACACTCAACTTGCTTTTGCTCTTTCCTCAGTTTGTGGGCTGTCCACACTATCTACAAGAGGCCGCATAATTGGAGGGCAGCTTGCAAAGACTGGAGACTTTCCTTGGCAAGTCTTACTACTGGGTGAGACCGTAGCAGCAGGGGCTCTTTTACATGACAATTGGATCCTAACAGCTGCTCATGCCGTGTATGGGCTAACAGAGGACGTGTCTTCCCTGGACATTCGCATGGGAATCCTCAAAAGGCTCTCACCTCATTACACCCAAGCCTGGCCCGAGGCTGTCTTTATACATGAAGGTTACAATCACAATGCTGGTTTTGACAATGACATAGCACTGATTAAACTCAAGAACAAAGTCACCATCAATGGAAGTGTCATGCCTGTTTGCCTGCCAACAAAGGAAGCTGCATCCTTAATGAGGACAGATACCATTGGAACTGTGGCTGGCTGGGGCTTAACCCAGAAGGGGTTTCTTGCTAGAAACCTAATGTTTGTGGACATACCAATTGTCGACCATCAAAAATGTACTTCTGCATATGCAAGGAAGCTCTACCCAGGAGGAAGAGTAACTGCTAACATGCTCTGTGCTGGCTTACAAACTGGTGGCAAGGACAGTTGCAGAGGTGACAGTGGAGGGGCATTAGTGTTTCTAGATAATGAAACACAGCGATGGTTTGTGGGAGGAATAGTTTCCTGGGGTTCCATTAATTGTGGGGAGGCAGATCAGTATGGGGTCTATACCAAAGTCATAAACTATATTTCCTGGATCCAGAACATAATGAGTAACTTCTAACTTGCATGCCTCCAATCTGTGAATTATTCTTACAAGTACCTGGAAAGGCTCTTAGCAGTAACAGAACCCAAGGAGCATCAATGGCCCACCCTAAACTAAACCGGATTAAACTGTTAGAGGCACTTGCCAATGTCAACTTTGTCGTTCGTGTTGTTCAGTACAATGTTTATTTTTACCAACCCTGCACACAAACCTACCATGTCGTGTTCAATTCTCTACAATCTATTGGCTGCTCCCATTTCTGAACAACTAAAGGCTTGCTGTTGATTTTCATAATCAATGGGTTCATGTTCTAGGCTGGCCTTAAAAACTCTGTAATGTAGCAGATAACCCAACCTTTCTTTTGCTCCTGCCAGCCAAATGCTTAGGGATTAAAGGTGTACGCCACCAAACCTCACTTTATCTAATTAAACCTGGGTTTTGGATGTGTAAGCTTGGTAAGCCAACTAAGATAACAATCTGAATCCTGCTCCATCCACCCTAACCCTTTTGAGACAGCCTTAGTAGCCAGGCCGACCTCAAATTTACAATTCTGCTTCAGCCTCACAAGTGCTGGGTATTAAAGTGTATGCCACTATATCTGGACTGTTCGAAAGTGAGCATGACTTGGGCACAGGTGATTCAAACAGATCACAGCACACCAGCAGAAAACTGCACACAGTGAACTTATGTAACAAAAACGATGGTAACTCACAAAGCAACTGCTACTCTCCCGCTAAGATGCTGCCTTAATCTTAAAATGTCACATTTGATTGTACTTGGCTCTTCCAATGAGTTCTGAGACAGTATCACTATGGAGCAACAGCTGGCCCGCAACTCTGAAGTGTATGCCTCAACTTCTGGGATTAAAGGCATGTGCCACCACACCCAGCTGGAGACTCACATTTTTAATGGATGAAAATGCTATATTGCACCTTCCCTCAGAAGTCACTGTTAAAACTTTCTGGCATTTTTGTCATGAAAAATGTTTTTTTTCCAGTAAGACTCCAGACACTAAACTGTTGGTGGCAAGAAAACTTTTTATTTAACTGCGGTTCAAAGATTGTTTTTTAAGAATGAATGCATTTTGATAACCAAATAGATTTTCAAAACCAAATTTTTGCCAAGTAGTTTATTTCTAAAACTTCATGTAGGGCAATTAACTATCTACAGCTACATCATACCATAAACATATTAAAAGGCTACTCAACATTGAAAGCCTTCTAGATGACCAGTAACTCTTTAACAGGTGCAAACAAGGGATCAAAACCATGCCATCGACAAGTAACTTACCCCAGGACTCCTGGACGGCTTGCCAGTTTAGTCTTTGGAGGTCCCCGAAAACCATTTTAATGTTACCATGTTACTGCTGCTGAGTAATAGTGCAAGTGCTAAAATGCAAAATTCAGATGTACAGGGTTTGGAAATCATGCAGATTTAGATGCAGAGAAAAAAATTTACAATAACTCAAGATCCTTTTACAGAGGATACTTAATAATGAAACACCGGGTTCACAAGTCTAGAGGATATAAAATTTCAAAACACGCAACTTGCAAAATGACAAGCCTATTTATCATCATCTATTTAGGTAAGGGCAGTGGGGAAACTACCAACAAAAATGGTCACATCTTTCCAGCTAGAAAAGGAGTTCCCCAGTTCTCAGTAGTTACAGGAAAGTACAACAATCAAGGTATTATTGCTTTTACATTCTTAACAATGCATTGTGAGAGTCTAATCTGATTTTGTGAGCACTGTCACTTCATGCCCCTACAGCCCAGAGGGAACAAGCCCACCTCACTTAAAGACTGCCACAGATAGACAACCCACCCTACTAGTTCTTAAAGCTATCAGGCTTCTGAATGGATTTCAGGCACGTGGTTTCTTCTACTTAATCCCTATTGCAATTAATTCCACTTTTCAAATCCCCCGGAATGATGTTTATCATCCCTTCTTTCCCAATGATATGCTCTGCTACAAAGCATTTGGAAACAACCGTTTTGCCCCCTCCCAAATAGTATTTTTAGAAGGCATGAGTTCCCAACGGAGACTTAAACAGCCATGTCAATAGAAAAATCACTCAAATGCACAGAGGCACTCAGAACAAGCTGGAGGGTAACTGCTTACCATTTTAGGTTCTGTCACCCAGACTTATGAAAAACTAGATTAAAAACAGAATAACCCATGGAAAAACTTTCACTTTGGACAATGCAAGAACAAATAGCAATTAAGTCTGGGTATCAGGTGTCAATGCATGACAGGTGATGAATCCATTTGACTTGAGACAACTTTTCAAATAAGTTTATTTGAAGCAAAATAAACTACTGCCAAGAAACTTTATGAAAGTTCCATCTCAAAAGGGTCAAAAAGGGGAATTAACTGCTATGAATTCTTTGCATTCAGGGCTGCAAAACAAAGACACATATTATTTAAATCAGTTTTATTTAAGAATTTCCAACAATGACAACTCTTATAAAAAGCATCCAAGCATAGGACACAGAACTGCAGCAAACAGCATTCTTATGTTAGCTAACAGACATGAGAACGTCCACCCTCTTTGAGACACCTGAGCTCACTGGTGAACTCTGCTTCCAAGTTCTCCTGCAAAGCACACCACAAGCTCAGTCCATGTTCGCAGCCCATCAGCTTCAGTTCACGTGCCCACACTTCCAGCTCAGTAGCAGAGGAGAACACACTTACAGCATTCACAGCAGTTGACAGAGGGGAGGGAAGTACAAGTATTTCACTGAACACATTCAACTAAAGTGGGTTTTCTAGGAACAAAACTCAAAGTCTTCCAACAGATGTGGATGTCCTTTGATGCGAAACATTCGTACGTTTATTTGCTATCATTGCTCTCTGCACACTCTCTCACCAAAGCCACAGGATTGAGTGACACATCTCTCCAAGTTAAAAAATATCCATTTTGCACCACCAAGTCTCTGCACGCGCTCTCTCCTTTCCTCGCTCATACTAGCCTTTCATGCCTCGGCACCACCATCAATCCCACACAAGGTTTCAAAAGTTCAAACAGCCTTCTGGTTCCATATCACAGCCTTGCGTTCATAGCGTTGATACGACTCCATGAAATAAAGAGTAGCGGATAAAAATGGAACACCCACCGTCAAAGACGCAGCCTGTGCAGCGTGATGACGAATTCTTGGATGAGAAAGCATGTAGACAGAAGTATTCCTATGGCAGAATATTTACAGCACTACTTTCAATGAAGTGCTTCTTCCATAAACATTTGAAATGAGATGAACTGCAGAGATTAAATGAAGGCTTCATATTGTACTTTCGTATATGAAGGAAGACAAGTGTTAAAAACAAAACCAAAAGAACCAAACACCATGACATCATGATCTCCCAAATGGAGATATTCCTAAGGAAAAAATTCATAGGGTGGGATTCAAATTAAAATGAGAAAAGAATAGTTCTAACCAATGGTTTCTATTCTGAACATGCAAAGAATCCATTTAACAAGTCCAATGACAGAATATTACAGAGAAACCTTCTGAGATCAATTGTAGTGTTGGTTTACCAATTAGGCAAACAGCAGTTCACTTTCACCCACTCAGTATTTTAACCCTTTATATAACAAAACTTATAAAATTCATTTAGCTTTTCCTCTTTTTCTAAAGAAAAATGTCAAAAATACTGCTGAATATACTCCACACTGAACAAACCAATCTGAAAATTTTTAGTACATATGTATTTTACAATATACTTACCATGAGTTTAGAAAAATTTGAATCCCACCATTCTATACCTACCTACCTACCAACCGACCACCCCTCCCCCAGCACTGCCTACATTCCCCAGCCAGAGGATTTAGAATCCATGCTTGAGCCAAAACCGCCATTAAAACCACTGCCTGACCCTGCATTTGATGCTGACCCCCAACCAAGAGGGGCACCAGAATTAGAACCACTATAGGAATTATTCCCCGAACCAAATGTCTGATTTGGCTCCCTTTGCATGCTGCCCTGGCTTTGGTTATTACCAGATGGACCTGACTGGTTCTGTTGGCTGGCTAACATGCCCATCATACCCCAACTGCTCTGCAATGCTGCCTGAGCTGCAGCCATCATCGCTGGATTAATGCTAAAAGCTCCAAAGTTCATTCCTCCACCCATATTGCCACCCTGGTTATTTCCCAAGCCAGCTCCACCCCCTCTACTGTTACCAAACCCACCCTGATTCCCAAAGCCACCTGGATTACCACCAAATCTTCCACTTCTTTCTAACTGTCTATTGCTATTATGCTTAGGTTCAGCATTGGATATATGCACGCTGATTCCTTTAATGATCAAATCCTCTCCACAAAGAGACTGGGCAACCTATAAGAAACAAGGAATGTAAATGGTGACTAAACCAACTCACGTACCAACTCAGCAATACAATACCAAATCCTAGTATAACCCATCTAAGTAGAAGGAAAATAAACAATGATTGCTAGTTTCACTTTGGTAATGTTAACATTAATATCTGTAACCAAAATATGTGTAACAGCCCCAAAGCTCACATAATGAAAAACATCAGAAGGGCATCTTACTGTTATCTAAACCCATACACTCTACTCTGAAAATGTGACAATCAGCTGGAACAAGTCACTTTTATCACTTTGAGTGCTGGAGACTGAGCTTAGCACCTACTGTATCATGCTGGGCACATACAGTAGCCCCAAACCAGATACATTCCCAGCCCTAAAACGTATTAAGAAGAAAAATACCTTATCATCTGCAAAGGTAACAAAGGCAAAAGCCCTAAATGGTTTGGGAATGAAGACATCTACTACTTCTCCATACTGACAGAAGAATTGTTGAAGCTCTTCAGCAGTCATATCCTCTGTACAACGCCCAACAAACACCTTTCTGCTTCTCAAAGGTTCATCTGGGCTTTGCTGGTCAAAAGAAAGGAACATCAGAAATAAATATATAAGGCATACTTCCCCTTTCTGTGGTGTTTTGCCCCCTGCCCCAGACAAGGTCTGTGTATCCTTCGTTGGCCTGTGCCTCTGGGTGCTGGGATTAAAGGTTGTGTGACAAGACTTATNGTGTGGGGGGGGGGGGGGGGGGGGCGGGGGGGGAGGCATGCTTTGCCTTCCTGTATCTATCTTAACCAGGTCTGGTGCCCTTTAGGACAGAAGGGATTGGATCACTCAGAACTGCAGTTAGTTGCTGCTGCCACGCAGGTGCTGAAAACTGAACCAATCCCTTTCCAAAAATAAGTAATTACTAATTAAGTTCTCAACCTCACTTCCTTGGGATTTTAAGACAGCCCCATGCACCCCAGGATGGCCCTCAGCTTGATATGTAAGTGAGGACAACCTGAATTACAGGAATGCAACATCATGCCCAGTTTTAATTTCCTTCACACAAGAGACCATTATGTGCACATTCGGGATAGAGGTTGATGCTATTCATCTTTCTTAGTCATTCTCCACCTTTTTTTGAGTCTGGGTCTCTCACTGAACTTTTATTTTCCTAGACTGGTAGCTGGCAAGCTCCATGGATCACCTGCCTCTCCCTCTGCAGGGGTAGGATTACAAGCACATGCTATCACAACCCGTTCTTTAAAAAACAAAAAATGTGGGTTCTTGGTAGAAGTAGCCAAGGTCTCAAGAGTCAGGTAGTGGTTTAACCTTAGCACTCAAGAGGCAGAGGCAGGCTGACCTGAGTTTAAGGCCAGCCTGGTCTATAGAATGAGCTCCAGGACAGCCAGGGCCAAACAGAGAAACCCATCTGAGAAAAACAAACAAAAAGCAAAAGAAAACAAAACAAAACAAAAAAAAGCCGCCTGGCCACCAGTGGTGGCACACGCCTTTAATCCCAGCACTGGGAAGGCAGAGGTAGGCGGATCTGTGAGTTAGAGACCAGCCTAGTCTACAAGAACTAGTTCCAGGACAGATTCCAAAGCAACAGAGAAACCCTGTCTCGAGGGGAAAAAAAAAAAAAAAAAAAAAAAAAAAAAAAAAAAAAAAAAAATCAAACCAAACCAAAAAATCCCCCCCAAAACAAACAATCCTAGTACTCGGGAGAGGCAAGCATGGAGATCTGAGTTCACAGCCAGCCTGATCTACACAGTAGACAGCAAGTTCCAGGACAGCCAAGGTTACACAGTCAAAAAGCTAAAAAACTTTCCTTGCCACATTTCCAAATGCATTTAATATTTTAAGGTCTTTTAAGAAAAGATTCCCCAAGCATACAGGAAAACAAAGAGCAAAATACCTTAGAATTGGGAAGTTTACAGTCACACCATCGTCCATCTATCATATGTCGTTGTGACATTACTTTCACTTGGGTTTCATATTCCGTAAACCGAACAAAGCCAAACCCTTTTGAGTGACCAGTTTTAAGATCTTTCTTGACCTAAGAAAGGACGATTGAAATTTATTCTACTAATACCACACATAAAGAAATCAGAGATCACATAAAACTCTGAATGGCTTCACCTGAATGAAGCAGCACATTAAAGTCAATAGAGCTCAAGGCAAAGTCAACAGCAGAAAATCAGAACAGTAGAGAATGACACACTTGGACTCTAATAATGTTTAGAATGAGCACAAATAAGATCTAATATAACCTATTTCCTTTAAACTAGTAGCTATCAAGCTTCCTAATGCTACAACCTTTAATACAGGTCCTCATGCTATGGTGACCCCACACATAATTATTTTTGCTACTTCTTAACTGTAATTTTGTTACTGTTATGACCGATACAAACAGCATAAAGAGGGGATGGGGTTGGGGGGGTGAATGGGAGGGAAGGAAGTGGAATGATATTATTTATATATAAAGCAACAACAACAACAAAAGCAATTAGCTAGTTAAGTTTACCTGAACCATAAGAACCTCTCCAAAAGTGCTGAAATAGTCTTTAAGATCTTGTTCTGTTGTTTTCCAGGGGAGACCCAACACTATTAGATCAGATGTTTTCTGGACTGCTCTTTTCACCTTCACTGCTGAGGAAGCATCTGTCTCGTCCATTTTTCTTTTGTTATCTAAACAAGGCAAGCAGAAACCCATATTTAGCAGTTTTTTAAAAAAAAAAGGCAGGTGGATCTCTGTGTTTGAGGCCAGCCTGGTCTATCTAACAACAAAATACAATGAACCAACAAGACCAGATCTATAAATAGTGAGGAGACTGGAAAACTTGTATCCTTCCTAGGACAGAATGTAGCTTAAGAGGCTGGAGTGTTTTTCTGGTGCAAATTAGAGGAATCTCAATTCTAGTTTGGTATTATCTTTTTGAAAATTGATTTGTGTACATTCGTAAGCAGTTTCTGGCCTTCTGTCTTGTTATTCCTGGGGAAGGCTGCACCCCACAGAAATCAGCTACCAGAGGTAGACAGGTGGCCTGGCTTGCTGAGAGTTGTCTTTACTGCATTTATCAGCTATCTATCTCCCTGGCCTAGTTTTGAATAATCTAAGATTATAAAATCAACTGCATGTTCTCCTCAAAACCGGTATCTACATAAACAAAATTCTACTTCATTTTCATTTTGTGGCATTAAATTTATCTGATTAATCCAAGGGATTAAATACCCTCTTGGGATGCACATGGTGTAAAAGAAAACAAAAAAACCCAAAAACAATAAAAAACCTTACAAAACCCATATACATACTTTAAAATATATTAAAAAAGAGAAAACTAGCAACTTTTATTTCCACATGTAAATCTGGGTGCTTTCTGTCTTATCCAAACATCCAGTGATACTGTTTACAGAGATGGAGGTCTCAGTACATATGCTGGTCTTAAAGAATCTTCTTTCTGGTCGGGCAGTGGTGACAAGCGCCTTTAATCCCAGCACCTGGGTCTCTCTGAGTTCGAGGTCAGCCTGGTCTACAAGAGCTAGTTCCAGGACAGGCTCCAAAGCCACAGAGAAATCCTGTGGTGATGGTGGGCCCACAAGAACCCTCTTTCCTCATCCTTCCTGCAGTTATTGGCTGTACGCCACCTCAAAGGCCAGACAAGCACTTTTACTATGCTCTAGTTCCAGCTCCTGTCCATTTAGACACAGCAATCTACCATGTCCCCACAGTGCTCTTCAAATGGTGGTGGCACACACCTTTAATCCCACCCAGTACCTGGGAGGCAGAGGCAGGCAGATCTCTGTGAGTTCGAAGTCAGCCTGGTCACAAAAAGCTATTTCCAGGACAGGCCCCAAAGCTACACTCTTGGAAACCCCTTCCCCCAAAATTGAGTTTCTCCTGCTTGAGCTTCTTAACCTTCAATTTCAAGTGTGCCACCCCCCCCCCAAACAACACCAAGTGTCCTTTTAATTTTTTTTTTGGTTTTTCAAGACAGGTTTTTACAATTTTGAGATCTTCATATTACAGATTTGAAGATCACTGTGAGGACACAGTGAAATATAACGTAGTAGAGTGTTTTCTTTCTTTGTGTTACAGCCCTGGCTGTTCTGGAACTCACTCTGTAGACCAGGATGCCTCTGCCTCCTGAGTGTTAGGATTAAAGGTGTGTGCTACCACTGCCCAGCAGATCCTCCTTAATTTCTTAGACAAATATTAGTCTTTGCATATTGAACAATTTGGTGGACTGACCTCAGTTGTTGCTATATACAATCAGGCTCAGCTGTAACTATGTAGCCCAGACTGGCTTCAAAGTCACGATCTTCCTGCCTCATACCCCCTGCTGATACTGGGATTACAGGTAAGTGTGGCACTTTGTTGCAATACCATTATAGTAAAAGTAACAATGTACCAATTCCCAGGCAACCTCTTTCGAAGACAGGGTCTCTGTTTATCCCTGGCTGCCCCAAACTCAAGAGATCATGAGGCCTGGCTTTCTCATAAGAGGCAGGGAAAATAAGACCACAACCTTAAAATCAAGGTAGTTCTGTACTAAATCAAGATTTGGGCCACTGCAACTGTGGCTTCTCTGAGGAGGGGAAAAGAGAGGTTAGTTTAAACAAGGGAGCAAGAGGCTAAAAGCACCTGCTGCTCTTGAGGAGCTAAGGGTTTGGTTCTCAGCCACCACATGGCAGCTCACAACCATTCAATGCCCCCTTCAGATGGTTGGATGCCCTTTTTGCATCAGGCACACACAGTGCAGAAATTTGAGAAAGCTGGGCCTGGTGGCACATACCTTTGATCCCAGTTACAGACAGTTGTAAGCTGCCCTGTGGATGCTGGGAATTGAATCTGGGTCCTCTTAAGAGCCATTGTTCTTAACCAGAGTCATCACTCCATCCCAAGGCACTTAGTTTTAACAGCCTAAATTTGGCATCAGATTGGCAATAACTGTTCCAACAGCTTAACATTTAAGTAGATATTCCTATAAAAAAAATAGCCCTACAATTCCAATTATCACTATTTAGACTAGGGACCTTTCAGAGTAGTCTAAGCAAAGTTTAAAAGAACTGGATTGTAGAAGACATCTGCCACAAAGGCCAAACCCCGGGGACAGAGCCTAACAGTCCTTGCATGGCAAACATGAAGCCCTGGACATCACAGCGGCACCACTCCTCATCCCCCCACACAAATAATCTACAACTTAGGATGGCATACAAGCCTAACTGTAGTCAGCCATAAGGCAAAAAACAAAACGCGTAACAAACCTTTCGGATAGTTGACAACATACACCAGATTTCCCCAGCCGGCATCCGGGGCATGCAGGATTCCTTCCACCAGCCGAACACCCCGCATACACTGAGACACGGGATTCCGGTAGCGCAGGCCGCATGCCCCTGGAAACTGGGCTGTAACTGTGGACAACAACACTGTTCCATCGTCTTCTGATGGTATCTCAATGGGCTCATCGTTCTCATCTTCTGTTACCCGAATATATTCAGACATCTTTGCCCAATTTTCTAAAGAAGAGAGAGATGAATGACCAAGAGAGTAATAGCAGTTATTTCTACTTAGCCACCACCACTACCGTCCCCACTTCCTGAAAAGACTCTCGCCACCTGAAACCTAATGTTTCCTTTGCCATCCCCGAGAACTGAGGAAGAGTATTCTTTAGAGAGAAAAAAAAAGACTTTAAACTTTTTGTTCCCAACTCATTTAATAAGTGTTTTCTCAGGGCTTACTATATGCATGAGGTGCTAAAATTCCAACAGTGTTACCACCTGGCTTGTTGGTTACAAAAGGCTTAAAGAACTGTTTCTGTTCCGACTTTTTTTTTTTTCTTGCAAACAGTTTTCTTACCCGGAGCGAAAAACTAGAGACTATACAATATTTTCTGGCCATCCTGAACTAATTTTATTCCAAGGTCTAGCACGTGCTTTAAGCGGGTGGAAGAAATCCACAAAGAATTCCATCTGGGGCTGGCGGCGCTCGGAAACTTGAGGTCTCCTGTTCCTCATTCTCGGGAAAGAAGAGCTAAACTTGGGCGTCGAGGGCAGGAACGACAGTGGCTCCGCGATGTAGGCCACCACTTCCCAGAAGGCCCTGCGCGATGAACGACGTTAACCCCCCCCCTCGGCCTGGGGTGGGGCCGCCGGAGTACAAGGCCCACGGTGGCACCGATTGTTCTCAGACCCCGAAGGGGTCCGCACCGCCGGAGCCCCGGGGCCGCGACAGACTCCCCGCCCGCACGGCCCGGCAGGCTCGGCGTCCCGCCCCGGCTGCCGCCCGCGCTAGGCCCTAACGACGCGGCTGCGCGAGGCCAGCTAGGCCCCGCTCCAGAGCGCCCTTCCCGCCGCGCAGGTCGCCTGAGACCTCCCCGCGGAGCCCCATCCGGAGCCCGCGAGCCGCCCTGGGCTCACCACTCACCGCTAGGCCGCGACCAGAAAGCACGACGAGGAAACGGCGACAGCGAGGGACCCGATCTCAGCCGAGCTACCACTTCGTGCCCACAAAATGGCGCTAGGGCCGCCTCCCGCCCCCGCCCGCCTTCGGCCGCTCCCACCCGCTTCCTGCCAGGAGGGGCGCTCACCTCGCGGAGGCTCAGACGCTCCCTCCTCGAAGTGGCTCAGATCCTAGCGGGCGCCCGGACACGCAGAAAGGAATGGAAGGACGCAGAGAGCAGAGGGGCCGCGCCGGAGACGCCGAAGCCCGAGACACAGCGCGGCTACGCAGGCTTTAGCTTCCACCCCCACACGACGTGGGACGTGGCTCCGTCCGACCAACCGCCGACCCCAGCAGAGCGCTCGCGCTCACGGAAAGTGCGCGAGACTGGCGGAAGGCCGGGAAGAGCGAGGCGGGACCGGGGACGGTGGGCGGGGCTTCAAGGGAAGGGGCGGAGCCGGGGCGGGCGGGGCGCGAGAGGGTCTGGTGGGGGCGGGGAGGGAATCTCGCTGGGAAACCCGGCTCCCTGCTCTAAACTTTGCTGGTCTTCAGACGTCTTCTGCCATTGCTCGGTAATTTCCAACCGTGGAAACACTAGCTTTGGTCTACACAATGGTAGCTGTCCTAAGTACTACTTTGTATCAGGTGCTTTTGTGCCCTCTCTGGCTCCAGGGAAAATCAAAACAAAATAGAATCTTGTGAATCGTAGACAAGTGTTCCTCCATTGACCTTGGGCTGTGCTTGTCCCCTGTAGTTTTCAGAGTCTTTGTATTGTTTTAGAGACAGAGACTTCAGAATCACTGTGTAGCCCAGGTTTTCCTTGAACTCATTATGGCTCCCCCTCCCCTATCAACAGCCTCCCAAGTGTTGATGTCCTACGAGTCTGATGTTATAAGTAAGGAAACTGAGGCACTGAGAAAGGACAGGCGGGGCTGGCGGGCAGGGAGAATAAACAGAAGGAGAAATCTGGGAAGGGAATATTGGGAGAAAAAAGGAGAGGAGGACGTCAGGGGCCAGGCACCCAGCTACGTAGCAAACACAGAAGAAGTAAAGAAAGGTGTATAGGATAGAGAAAGATGCACAGAGGCAAATGATAGATGGCATAATTTAAGAAAAACTGGCAAAAATAAGCCAAATTGCTCGATGGTGGTGGCAAAAGGCTTCAATCCCTTGGATTCAATCCCACACTTGGGAGGCGGAGGCAGGCGGATCTCTGTGAGTTCGAGGCCAGCCTGGTCTACAGAGGGACCTAGAGATAGAGCCTAGAATAGGCTCCAAAGCTACACAGAGAAACCTTCTATTGTAAAACAAACAATCAAAAACCAAAAAGAAATGAAGCTAAAGTTGGGCATTCCTAAGTAAGAATAAGTCTTCGTGTGATTTATGATTTATTTGGGAGCTGGTGGCAAGCCCCTAAGAGTGGAAAAATAAAAATACCCAATAACATAGGCTGATTGCCAAAAGGTGATTTTTTTTTTTGGTTCTATTTATTTTTCAAGACAGGGGGGTCTCTGTAGCCCTGGCAGTCCTTGAAGTTCCTCTGTAGACCAGGCTGGCCTTCAGCTCAGAGATCTGCTGGAATTAAAGGCTTAAGGTGAAGGCCTAGGCCACCACGTCCAGCTCCTGATTCTGTTATTTATTTGCTGATGTGCGGTGGGTCAAGCCAGTGCTCTTACCCCAGACCAACAACAAATTTTATGTGTGGGTGGTGGATTCCAGACAAGGTTTCTGTGTTTCTCTGTTTAACAGCTCTAGCTGTCCTGGAACTCACTTTGTAGACCAAGTTAGCCTCAAATTCAAAGAGATCCACTCCTTGTGACACACACTTCCTGCTTGACTTTGTTTAGTTGGGTTTGTTTGTTTGTTTGTTTGTTTTTTAAGGGTTATTTTTGTTGCTGGGCGGTGGTGATCACACCTTTAATTTTAGCACTAGGGAGAAAGAGGCAAGCAGGTTTCTAAATTCAAGGCCAGTCTGGTCTTTAGAGTGATTTCCAGGACAGCCAGGACTACACAAAGAAACCCTGTCTCAGAAAAACCAGACCCTTTGGGGGAGGGGGAGGGAAATGGGAGGCGGCGGTGGGGAAGAGACAGAAATCTTTAATTAATTAATAAATAAATAAATTAAAAAAAAAGAAAAACCAGACCCATTCAGACATAAGGAACAGTTGAAGTAATAATACAGCGCACACCAGCATAGCTGCCACTCATAAGTAAGCCGTGGGGGAGGGGGGCACAGAGGTATTTGTGCTAGCAGACGAGCACTAGAGGAATCTGGAATGTTAATGACTCAGAGTAGGGACTTCAAGAGAAGGAAGGCAAGGCCTGTTGTCACCGGAAGGCTGGTCTGGGATGGGTGTGCTTTCTCGCCTGGTCTCCTTTACACTAGCTGCGACCCCACCAAGGCCCTCTCCAGACCCCCTAATGAGCTTGCTTTTTCTCAGTTTACTATAGAACCGATCTTTATGGCCAGTGTCCCGTGTATTTTTTACAAAGAGTTTCGACGTAGTCATCTCTGATTCAGCTTACTTTGTTCTTCAGAGATTCATGATGTATGCTTTGTTGTACACGTGAGACTGAGTTAATTATCACCAGAAAAATTTTCACCAAATTGTGCTGTGTGTAAAATAAACTGCTTGGAACACTCATGAGGAAGAGGCAGGTGAATCTCTGTGAGTTCGAGGCCAGACTCCAAAGCTACAGAGAAACCCTGTCTCGAAAAACCAAAATAAATAATACAATAAATAAAAAAAAATAAACCACTTGGGATCAGATGCTTGAAGTTTGGAAGAACTACCACCGACTGAACCGTGTTGAATCGAACTACCTTCCTGAACCATGTTGAATAGAACTACCTTCTTGCCTCTCTAGGATCATCTCTCTGCTGGCTGCGGAGCCCACAAAGACCCCTCAGTAACTGGCTCATATTTTGTAATATCTGTTTATGATTGTGTATAGCCAGCTCTCACATCCCCCACCTAGGCCACGTTCAGCCCTCTTACCCCCAAACAAGGAAATTCTTCTACATGACTTCTGTGACCATTTCTAGGAGTTGGGCTGTAGTCACAGCTACTCAGGAGGCTAAGGCACTGAAGGAGAGAATAAGGTAGAAAAGATCAATGACTAGTCACTGTTTTATTTTTTATTGACTTACCTAGTGATTCTCTTACAGCACTGCCTGTCCCCCAGCAGGACTTAACTTGCTATGACCTGGAGAAACAGCAGGAACACTAGGTCCTTGCCCTCTCTTCAGTTTACAGTCTGTCAACCTCCAAGCTACCTGCCAAGAATGCTTTTGTTTGCTTACTTGCTTGCCCCACCTTGTGGCTTTAGACTATAAAATGAAGCCTTTTGGGAGTTACTCAGCTCCAGCCTACTGGAGACATTTCTTCTCTTTCTCCTCCTCCTTCTCCTGTTCTTCCTCTTCTTTCTTGACTTTTCAAGACAGGTTTTCTCTGTGTAGCCCTGGCTGTCCTAGAACTCACTCTGTAGTTCAGGCTGGCCTTGAACTCAGATACCTACCTCCCTCTGTATCCTCCATCCTGAGTGCTGGGATTAAGGTGTATGACACCATCACTTGGCTTTTTTCCTTCCTATTTTTTGTTTCTTTTTTCCTTTCTCTTTCTCCTCTCCTCTCCTCCCCTCCCCTCTCCCTCTCCCCCCTCTCTGAGACAGGGTCTCAGGCATATTTGAAAGGTAAAACAGTATCCAGATTAAAAAAAAAGTCTGGCTTCATTGTGATAGGCTTTTTTTTTCCTGCCTACAACCTGCCAGAATAAAGGTATACTTCCCTGTGTTGGCCTAGGTCTTAGGTTTTCAAAGTCATTTTTGTAGGGACTGGAAAAGCACCTTCTGCTCTTCCAGAGGAAAGGAGTTTGGTTCCCAGACTGGGTGGTTCACTGGGCAGTGGTGGTGTACCCCACACCTTTAATCTGCAGTGCCGCCTGCCTGCACGGCCTGGAACCGAAACCTAGCGAAGGATGTCAGGATTGAACAGACATACATCTCTCTAGCTGCTGGTAGAAGAAGCCCTTTATTGAACAGCACCATGGAGGTTTTATACCTAACCCAGCCAGGTGGGCCAACAGGTTAAGACCTCACTGCCTGATCCTTGGTCAAGGCCAGGGCACTGCGTGCTCTGGAAGCAGGGTTGGTAAACAACTTTGACAGAGCTCTCAGAAGCTCAAATCAAAAAAGAAAAGGTCACTAGCAGGGAAGAGCAGCTGGAGGCCAGGACTCCAAAGGATCCCAACACAGCAGCACTTGGAAGGCAGAGGCAGGCAGATCACTGTGAGTTTGGGGCCAACCTGGTCTACAGAGCAAGTTCCAGGACAGCCAGAGCTAAACAGTGAAACCCTGTCTTGAAAAACAAAGACCTGTATCTCCAGCTCCAGTGAGTCTCATGCCCTCTTCTGGCCTCCATGGACACTGGATCCTTATGATGTATGCACATAGACCTACACAATACACATAGATACAATAATAAATCTAAAAAAAAAAAATGAGTCAGGTGGTGGTGGCACACGCCTTTAATCCCAGCATGTGGAAGGCAAAGGCAGGCAGATCTGTGAGTTCAAGGCCAGCCTTGTCTACTGGATGAGTTCCAGGACAGCCAGGGCTACAGAGGGAAACCCTTTCTCAAAAACAATGAATAAATAATAAATACAAGTCAGTTACATGAAAACGCCAATAACAAAACCCTGAACAAACCAGGCTGGCCTCACCTGCAGTGGTCCCCCTGCCTCAGTCTTCCAGGCACTGGCATTATAGGCATAGGTACCTTGCCCCTCTTTAAAATTCCTATTATAAAATGATATAGTATTTGCATATAACCTATGCAAATGACCCCATATACTTTAAATCGTCTCTGCATTCCTCACAATACCTAATAAAATGTAAATGCTATGTAAATAGTTGTTGTATTGAGTTATTTAGGGGATGATGACAAGGAAAATTTATGTACATATTTAATGCATGATTTTTTTCTACTTTAAAAAAAGATTTATTTACTTATTTGTGTGTGTGTCTAAGTGTGAGTATATGTGCATGGGGGGGGGGCATGTATGTGCACACGCAAGCCAGACGACTACATCACTCTCTCCCTGTTCTCTCCCTGAATCTGGGGCTTCGGTTTTCTCTTTCTGCTCCTCCTAGAGCAGGGGCTGCAGGCATTCTCTGAAATGCCCTGTCTACTGTCTGGGTGTTGGGCTTCACTACTCAGCCATTTCTCCAGTCCCATATTAATAAATAATTCATTTCTTCCTTTGCTTTTTTGAGACGAAGTCCTGGTACTTAGCCTAGGCTGGTCTTGCACTCACCATGTAGATAGTTCAGATGGCCAACGCACGGCAACCTCCCTGCCACAGTCTCTG